ATATTTTTTAACTGTTGTTTCCAGCTTTACTTTAAAGAAATACTTCACTCCCCAAATGATCATTTGGACATGAATTATTCATCCTGTCTTGCACTGAATCTTTGAAGAAAACGTTGTTTTTCTTGCACGCCTTTGGTGAACAAAGAATCCAAAAATGGAGAACGTCACAGGGAATCGCGAACAGCAAAACTATCAAAACTCTTACGCTGAGCTTCATTTGTAAACAGACACACTGATACTCATCATGAAACTGCTTCCAACTACACTGTAGTGATTTATAAACCACTTGTTCCATGTTCATACACTGCTTCTGAATACTAAACAGGGATACTTGGCTATTAATATTTAAGTGCAAGTCGAGTGGACGGTATGAGACCCACATCTGACTCAATCTGCACACTATAGCTGCACATGTAATGAGTGCGGGCCAGTTAAAATTTGATTTGGTGTCACATCATATGAGACACTCTCAACAACATGAGGTTCCACATGAGGGTAAGTGACACTCTGCAGTTGCTTTGTGCCAAATCTGTGCTCCCTGTGTGGCAGTAACATATGGCAGCGAATGACTTTGATGTTGAAACATCATTTTCTCCACTGGATAATGTTGTCTCAGTCCACAACAGCAGTCCATCACTGCGTGTCAGTGGTGAGAGCTTTCACACAAAAGCTATTTTCTGTGTGTCTTTCTTTATTTGCTGCTCGATGTGTGCTGTGTTACAAACAGCAGAGCCTGTGAGGCGATTACTGAATTACGCAATTATTCTGCTATCATAGCTGCAGCCCTGCAATGGTTTAATAGATGGAACATTTCACTCAGTTTGCCACAGTTAAGCGTTAGTTCACTGCTGAGACCACACATGCATAAAACTGTATTGTACCCTCAGCTGTGAGAGCGTAATAAAGCTAGGAACAGCACTGGTTTAGAACAATGTAATTTTAGCATTGTGGCTTATTTCCAGTGTCTGGACAAGTCATTAAGAGCATGTTTCTATATTCTCCTTTGAGAAGAGGCTGTTCTATATTCAAACAGTGGGACATCTTCACACTTGAGTTGTTCTTAAGAGGACATCACACTGACCACTGGCCTCGGGGCAGCAGGTAGTGAAGCCTTCAGAATCAGAAAGGCCACATTTCAAATGGGGACATCATCACATCGTCTACCTGCTGTGCAGGACAGACAGGCCAAACTGCAGAAAGACAGAACTCAGGATCATCTAAATTCTAACCCTAAAGTTCTGTTTTGTGGATGTTTTTAACAGCTAAAAGAACACACTCAGCGTTGTTTTATTGCCTTTATACTTCACTACTTTATGTAATTAAGGAAAATTGCTAATAAACATTATTTTGAATTGATGACAGTTTCAGCAGGAAGGATTTCCACATGCCCTTGCACATGTGTGATTGGTGTTGACAGTGCTGTTTATGCTGCAGTCAGTGGTAGAAGAAGAATTCAGAGCCTTTACTTTAGTAAAAATATTAAAACAAGTTAGTTAAGTGGCTCCAAACCCAAGGATCGGGCCCATCCAAAGGGTCACAAAACAAATCTGGGTTGTGACATGACACCATTTTCTGGACTTTTATCTAACTTTGGAGACTTTTAACTCTTTTAGTAATACGTTAAGAGGGGAAATCACTTTTGGTGTAACTGCAAACAGCACATTAAGTAAATATTTATGATTGCTGTGAAATCAATGTAGCAGAGATAAAAAGTATAATAGCTAAATTCCCTCTGAAATGTAGTGGACTAGAGGTATAATGTAGCAGCAACTGGAAATACTCAAGTGAAGTAAAAGTATCTCAAAACTGGACTCAAACACAGTACTTGAGTGACTTTACTGAAGCCCCGTATCCACCTAACACTTTCGGTATGCTTTGGAACCAAAAGTAACCCTTCAGACATGGTACCTAGACCCTGGGTTGTTGTCACTCACTGCTCCATCCAGCACTCACTGTATTTCCTCCTTTATCAGTCTGCACCTGGTTTATCGTCCACAGAACGAGGCTGCACGCCGACATTTTCAGAACAAAATAAAACAGGCTGCAGCAAGAGTCTTTCTCTATGAGGTATTTAAAAATAGTGGGTTTGTTCATTTAGTCCTTCTCAGGCAAGCTCACGGGTTTAGTGTTGCTGTAGCCCACAGGAACGGCGCTCCATGACACTATTTTTTTCTCCGAGGGAGGATTATAATATTTAAAGTTCACATAATGGAAATGAATATATGTTTTTTAACGCTTGAAGATCCACACATAACTAAAAGTGTGTGTCATCCAAGAGAGACAATAAAAACTAAAGTGATGGTCAAAGTTGTTTATGGAATATTTAAGGTGTGCTGATGGCTTCACGTCATCAACTCACACATTGAGTAATATAACAAGTAAACGTTCCACCTTAGAAGTTGCCGGCAGTGCACAGCACAAAAACAAAATGACATTTCGCATACCCCAGGCAAAAAGAAAGATAACATTTAAAAACAATTGGTGCAACATATAAGAAAGAACATATAGTGCAATAGTAAGATGAAAAGGGTCGACATTTCACAGTCAAAAACAGAACTGGGAGATCCTCTTCACATCACAGCACCATGAATTGTTTGTGTACACACCACGGAGCTTACCAGATGATGCAGCCTCTGTGTAGCTCTGCTCTGTGTAGTGTTAGCCCTGTTAGCTCAACACCGGAGTCTGATATGTTACCATTCATCCATGTCTCAGTGAACACAAGGACGCAGCAGTCCCTCACTCCTTGGTGAGTTGATCTCCACAGTCGGATGTAATCCATTTTAGTGTCCAGTGAGCGGACGTTCGCCAGGGTTACACGAGTGGTTGCGTCAGTCGGAGGCCTCCACATGGGAAAGACAGACAGGACAGGAGAAAACTCTGACCAAACATTGCATTCGGTCCTATTGCAATGATTGGTCGGAGTTTTCTTAGAACCATATGAGAATGGTACAATCATGAGTTTTTATCTCTGGTGGAATTCACTTACAGTTTAGTGTGCCATCAGCTTATTAATAGCATTTTAATCTAAACAAAGAAAAGTGTAAATTTTCCAGAAAGGTAAGTGTTGCTTTAACTGATATATGTAAAACTCTCCACAGTATGAACAGTGCATGAGCCTCAAAAGTGAAAGTGACCGTCCTCTATTGACCAATCAGACTGCAGTGTTCACAGCTCCACCTTTTAGTACCAGATCTGTGTGCTAGGTACCCCAACAGAGGGGGGACCAAACATGGGGACGGTACGGAACGCTTCTATAGAGCTCGTAAGTCAAGCCCCTTCTGGTAGACCCCTATCGGACCTCTAGGCTCGGAAAATATGAATGGGAGTCAGTGGAGAGAAAATTATTATTTTCTGGTCCCGGTCATTAAATGCCTTGGATTATGATGATGAGTATGATTCTTCAGTTAAAGGCTGTGGAAACAATGTAATGAGAAAGACTACATGTCGCCTATGTGACGTCACGTCATCACACTTTCCCTCCACTTCTCAACTCACAGTGCTGCTGCTGCGTCTTCTGCCATGATCTACGGAGCCATAGATCAAGATGCCGATGTGTTTCGTACCTGAATGTCACCATTCCAACAAGAACAGCTGTTCTTTCTTTTGATTGTCTTTCGAGGCTGTGAAGTGTACCAGAGACACAGCCATGTTCCGAGCGCGAGTGGTGACGTATATCATATACAGTATATGTATATACATGTATGTATATACATACATATATTTATGTATACTGTACTGTACTGTACATATATGTATGTATACTGTATACGCGTTGAGAGCAGCAAAGAGCTGTAGTCCACAAAGAGCTCTCACACAAAACCTAACAGTATCAAACTTCTTTCCGCTAAATTGTAGCCTTCGTTGCACGAAAAAATATATTAAAAATTCACAAACAACATATGTGAAATGCATGGCACAATTCAAACGGGACCAGGAAATAATTTTCATCCAGCCATTATGAGAAATCGATTTTTAAGGTCCCATGTACCGGAAAAGGAAACACGCAACTTAGGAGCTCTACTGGTACCATCCACAACTTTTCACAGTGGAGACGGGAAAAAAAAAGTGTACCGAACCGAACTGAACTGAACTGAACCGCATCGTACTGTTCGGTGGAAACGGAGCATTAGTTATCACTTGCTGCACTTCTCCTCTCAAATCACACCTAACTTTCACACACACACACAGCTCGTAGAGAGAGTTAGACCTCTCTGTGGTATAACTGACCCCAAACACAAGCAACGTCCCTGTGTAAAAAATGTCCATATACATATATATGTATATGTATTTGTGCATGAATATTCCAATAAACATCATTAGATTTCTTATATTCATTGTAATAATGCAGCTTTATGGTCATTACTTTTCAGCACATTGCTACGTACTGAGCTGAATAAGGTCAGAAGAAACGATAATGAAATGTGAAGTAAAAATTGGTTGCTTTTGCAATCATTATTATGATTACCCATACGGCAGTGGGGTCTGTGAGACCTCAAACAATAAGGGAGTAAAGCCAATATCAACAAAACACCAGTTAAATAAAACAGGCCAGGATCAGAAGTGTCAGAATATATAGAAATGTGAAAAAGGCATGTAGATTTCTTTACTTTCTGTGTGCCAAACCAGCCACTGTTTAATTTCCAAACTTGAGAAACGTGTTAACTAGATGCTCTTGGAGCTTTAATGTAAATTGCAGCAAAGCAGCAGATGGTGTCTGAGATAAAAACGGACATCTTCTGCATTATGTCTCGGTAATCCGATCCTACTAGATGCAACTTTTGAGAGACTGCAGGGGGAAAAAGTGGTTTGGCAAAGGCCCTGCGATCTGTTGAATGTAGAGTTTGTTTGAGGGGTGAGAAAATATGTCATTTCGGAGTCGTGGTTTATTCCAACGTAAGAGAGTGCGCACCAATGAGAGGCTGTTACGCTCCACCCTACCTGCCTCCTTTCCGCCCCCCCTTTTCCATCCACATACTCACTACTGAACACGACCTGCCGCCTGCCACATCTGGAGACGCTTCCCAACACGAGAAACTTCAACTTTCGCGTTTTCCTCTGCGCAGAAACACGCAGGCGTTTGCGAAGTGTCAATCCGTCAGGGTGAATTTGGCTCTCTCGTGATAGTAAGTAGAGATTCTTGAAGCCAAGTTGGCGTTTCTCTCTGTCTCTCAGCTTTCATTTTTTTACATAGCGTTGGTAAACAGAGCCCGTTTGGGAGTTTCATACATTCAGTTGCTGTGTACGTGCCACGCTAGATTGTGTTGTAGTTGGTTCGTGGAAAAGAAAACAACATAAAGTTACATATTTCCATGTATGAGTGAGAAAAGAAGGAGCGGAACGCGCAGCTGTGCGTTGACTCACGCACAAATCAAGCAAACAAATCTATAAAGTTTCTTATTCCACGCTCGGCTCTGTCACTAGAGGATTGTTAGTGTTAAATGTTGAAAGCAAAGCCTGTGTGAGAGCCTGCTGCTTCACTGCACGATAGTACATGACTGCGTTGATGGTGACATGAGTCAGAGGGAATCAAATTGTGAAATTCAGCAGCGACTGGTGATGGAGTGATACATCTCGGGTTTATTTGTGCCCAGCGCTGATCTAACATTTGGAAGAGAGGACTGGAATAAGCCATAAGGCGCACAGCTCCATACTGAAGTGTTTAAGTTAGTCTGAGGGGAAATTTAAAAGACCTAAAAATACAGCGTTGGTTTCTTCCCTACAAAGAATCATTTGAACTTCCCACCGCAGAGCGAGAGCGACATAAATAGTTCTGACATGTGGATGTAATTTCAGAAGAGGAAAAAAGACAGATGCAGAGAAATAAAGAGAGCAGGCTGAGCCTGAGCATATAGTAGATTATAGGAAATTAAATCGAGGGCAGAGCGAGGCGATTACAGAGTTATGATTTCACAAGCCGCCGTGAGCATCGACAGGCCAGATGGAGTGAAACAACAAAAGTCGCTCCACTTTGAAGAGAGTTAAGTAGATTATATCATCTCATCTGAGCATCATCAGCGTCTGTTTGAGCCCCGCAAGGACTCTTGGAGGTAGAGTTGCCTCAGGTCAGGGATGGGATCCGCTCTGCTGCTCCACAATCTGGACTTTCTTCTCATCTCACTCCTCAGCAGTTTGTGCCTGGTAAGTCATGTTTTTCATATGTGCATGCATGCAGCCATGTCATAACCAAAATGTGTGTATTTTTGATGTTGCATTTGTGAGGTGTGGAGGTCCAGCGGTGCCTCCTCTGTGCACACATCTCTGACAACATGTCAGTGCAGGTAAAGAGCAGCTGCTGTGTGAGTGTTTGGCATTAGCAGATGTTGAGGAGAATGTGATGCCAGCTGAATTTTTTACAAGGCAAACCATGCATATTGATCATATCTGCAAGACTGACTCTCGGCTTTTGATTTCTAAAAAAAATCTGCTCATAGTATCTAATGCAAATCAGGATTAAGGTAGCATGTGTTTGAGTTTAAAGGGAACCTATAAACCCATTTGCAAAATTCATATGTCACTCCTTTTGTTTAAGACAGTCCAAAACTTTACGTAAACATGAACACCTCTCTGCCAAATCCAAAAACTAGAGTGCGAACACTCAACCTTGTCATGATGGGTACTACGTCTGGAGCTGCTCCATTCACAGTTAATTGAGAAAGATGTTCTAGATCAGTGGTTCCCAACTAGTCCAGCCAGTTGGTCCAGATTTCTTCTGAGACACTTGTTTAGGGTCCACGCACTTCACTGTATTCAGCGTCATACTTGCATTTGGCCAAGTCTTTGAGCTTGTTTGCCGTCTCTGTCATGTACATGTCCGTTGGTGACTCACTCTGCAGCAGGGAACAGCACTTTAAAGTAAAAGCGCTGTGGCAGATATTCACTACTTCAAATACAAAGTGTGTTTTTTAGAAATTCAGAATGAGCCCACGACCCATTTTGGGAACCACTGTTCTAGATTATACAGAGAAATGTTTTGAGTGTGGGTTCATTTTCTATTTCACAACTAAGAACACAACAACAGAATAAAACTCATTTGGGGCTAGAAAGGAAAACAAACATCCTGTCTGTCCAAAAACATCAGGCTCCCATTCATTGTCAATGGAGCAGCTCTTGGTGACATCACAAGTTTGAGATTTACGCCTCTGGTTTCTGGCCTTGCGAGAGAGTAGCTCATGTTCACAAATGTCAATTGAACTCCGTCAGCCATGGAAATAACATAATGGAATTCTTAGTTTCGGTGTTGCTCCCCTTTTAAGGAAAGATGTCGACCTCCAGAGTAAATGACAGGAGTCAGAAGCCTTCACCTCCGCACCTTTAACTGTCTCTGTGCTGCATGTCACACTCCTGCTGGAATTGTTGCCAGTGAACACAGGCTTAAAGTGTGTGTGAGCTTAAATTGCTGCGGACACAGTTGTGTATCGACACACATATTGACATATTCGACCGGGCTGAAGGGGTTGACAGGGCTCCTAACAACAAGCTGCTGTGATTAGTGATTACACTTTTGTTCCATTAAATGCATCGTCTCACAGTGACGATACAACAACACAGTGTTTGTGTGAAGCAGCGCCTGGTAACCTAGTTCCTGTAATAGGCAGGGCATTGTGTTTACTACAGAGTGGGTCATTGCTTTGCAGAGCTCTCACCTGCCTGAGCCAAAGCGATTGTTGCGGTCAGAACGGGAGTAAATATTTCATTCATAACTCCAGCGGCACCTGAGCATCTCTCTGATTCACAGCTGTAATGATTTACTTTTGCCTGACATTGTGATTTATAATTGCGCTCTCAAATATTGCCATAGCTGTATCCAGAGGGCCTGCTGCACACACTCTCTCACACACACACACACACGGATACACACAGTGCAGGCAGAGCAGCGCACCAAGTTGGTTCTGTGTGTTTTGGCTGAGGCTGTTGTGCATTCAACAGGCAGTTCGCCCAGGCTCTGAGGTACAGTGCATTTTCCCAGTGATGTGGTCCATCACTGTACCGCAGTGGACCTCTAGGCTCATTGGTTTAGATGGCAGAGGAAAACAATTATAACATTGCTGTGTATTTATAGCTGATTCAACATTCAGTCGTTAAAAGCTCTGTCTGTATATGGTGTTTACCCGTTTTTGAGTTTGGTGTTTGCTTAGTCTTCCTCGCCACAAAAAAGTATTTTTTTTCCAAACTGTGACCAAACGGTACGCAGATTCCCTGAAAGCCAAAGCTCAGAGTGGAAAGTGTGTGTCTGTGTTTGAAGAGAGAATGCATTTTACATTGAGACATACAGTTGTCAAACTACAAGGCTGCACCACTTTCCAGATGTTCAGCACATAAACGATGATATCCCGATATCACCACGCACCAGTCCAGCACTATGAACTGCATGTGTGTTATCCAGCATTTTTTTATTTGCGTGAAATTGGCTGATACAAGAGCAGATAAGGAATCTCACCATTGTGTCTTACGCCTCAGCAGACACGTTGCTGTGACAGCTCACAGACAAAGCAGCACCTCACAGAGCCTTTGTTCAGTGTGCCTGGCTGCCTCACTTACTCAGTTATTACATTTATTAAGCGGAAGCACTGCTTTCAGGAACCTTAGTGAGCATTTAATTTCTCCCTCATGACTGTGTTTTCCTCCGTGATGACTTGCATGTGTCTGGATCCTCACTGGAAGGACTTGTGCTGTATCTGTATCTGCCTGCCATGGCCAAGCATTATGTCAGCTCTGTGAGCCCTGTCATGTTCTGTAGTGCACAAGGCACTTTTGACTAGTTTGACTGGATGTGGAAAATATCTGTTGTTGTGTTGGACCTGAATACTTAAAACCACAGGATCATGATTGTAGTCTACAGTTTCATTAAAATGCATGTAGCAGGAGAGGAATGTGCCGTGAAATGCAAAAGGATAGCTTTTTGTATGAAATCATGTTTGACCTCAGTTTATCTTTTAAAAGCCTTTACAGTGGAGGGTCGGGATGTCGTTTCAGAGTGGCTTTATACATTTCAAATTACCCCTCAGTGGAAGTTCATGCCACGGATGAGACTGCAGAATAATCTCATCCCAATCTGTCTCTGGTAATTAGGGCCAGCAGATTACTCCTCACTAATTAATATGAACTGCTGGTGCACTTGTAAAACAGGCTTTAATATTGAAATTTGCTCTGCATGCCCCTTTTAATCATCTCTAGTATGAGTTATGATATTTTTTATCTGAGTTTACACTTGTGTATGAAACTGCATGTTTGAAGCATCTCATTAAATGCATTCTCTTTTGTTTTATTATTATATTCAGTATTATCTTTTATTGTGTCTCTATGTAAACATATAATATATAATTACAAGGGGTGTAAATCACCAGGTTCATCACAATATCATACTATATTGATTATTTGGATAACGATAGGATATTTGCTGATATCAAAAACTCTGCCACAATCTGATTTTGATATGATTCAATTCAGGGGCCTGCGATTAATATGAGATAATACTATATGATAATTTCACACAGTCTGCCACCTCTTTCTTTTATGTTTTTGGCCACAAAAGATCAAAACAACACATGAATAATATAAATAACTGTCACCACTTAAAGGGGAACTGATGTTGTTTTCAACCTGGGCCCTATCTTCCGATCTACTTTTGTCTAAATGAGTGATAGGATGTTCAATATGTGACATTTCTCCAGTATGAAGCTAGGGCTGACCTGCCTGCAGCCCGTGAGCGCGCGCTATATTAAATAATGGGGCACTCAGACAGCGTCAAACAACGTCAAAATACGTCCACTAAAAGTGCATTTTTTTCACACAGATAGGCTCGGATTGTTAGTATAATTATCTGACAACATAACGGAAAGGAGAAATGAACGTCTGTGTTTACCTATAGCTGGATTCAGACATGTTCCTCTGCCTGTTGCTGCTCCCTCTCTCTCCTCGTCCGCTCTTCAGTTTCAATGAGCTCTGCGTCTGTGTACTGCGTGTACTGCGTGTACTCCGTGTTCAAATAAATACGGGCGGTCATCAAATTCAAATGGCTCATCCAGATCCAGTTGGTCAAAATTGGGTAAAAATTCAGCCATGGCTACTCCGAACAGAGTAACTCCTCGCGTTTGTAAGGTCAGTCCAGCGGTAACTTCCTGCAACAACTCAGATCTCGTGAGACGTGAGATTTCAGAGCCAGACTTTCACTCTCTGAGTGAGTGTTTTGACTTCCCGCAACAAACATGTCCGAATTTTTACCCGATTTTGACCAACTGGATCTGGATGGACCGTTTGAATTTGAACACGGAGTACACGGATGCAGAGCTCATTGAAACTGAAGAGCGGACGAGGAGAGAGAGGGAGCAGCAACAGGCAGAGGAACATGTCTGAATCCAGCTAAAGGTAAACACAGACGTTCATTTCTCCTTTCCGTTATGTTGTCAGATAATTATACTAACAATCCGAGCCTATCTGTGTGAAAAAAATGCACTTTTAGTGGACGTATTTTGACGTTGTTTGACGCTGTCTGAGTGCCCCATTATTTAATATAGCGTGCGCTCACGGGCTGCAGGCAGGTCAGCCCTAGCTTCGTACTGGAGAAATGTCACATAATGAACATCCTGTCACTCATTTAGACAAAAGTAGATAGGAAAATAGGGCCCAGGTCGAAAAAAACATCAGTTCCCCTTTAAGTGCAGCAAAGTTTACTTTATACTGTCTGGCTATCTTGCTTAAAGCCCTGAAAGCAAACTTCGGCCAAAAGCCATGAAACAACAAGATCATTTAACAGAAGTAATTCAGGTCAGTAATAACTGTCAAGGTTATGGACAAAACTAACTAACTAAATTAGCCAAGTGGCTGGCAGACTTTTCCTCTACTCATAGCTTAAAAAATTATATCTATTATTTATACTTTTTTCTTCACTCACTGTTAGTTTAAGTCACTGCAGCCTGCATGCATGTTTTTTCAGCCAAACATTGTTGAAACAGAGAAGCTAAAGTTGCTGTAGTGAGCAGTTAGTGGAGTGTGATGCCCAGCCAGGCAGGTACGTCCTGTCCTATCTCATTACGGCATTGTTCACATATTGCATGTGCGTCAGCTGTTGACTTGTGTTTTCTCCGAAATCTGAAACATTTCCACACTGCCGATTTATCCCTGTGTAAATAAAGTTGACC